TATCCGTCGCCACTGGACCGATTTTAAAAAACTTTTTCGTCATTGGCATAATAGTAACCCTGTGTGAAAATTACATATCCGTGAGCTATGGATGCTTCTTTTCTGATACGTGTAGGACTGGTCATTTATGCAATATTTAAACATTTTGATTTTTAGTAGCCACAGGATAACAAAAGGAGGCAAAAATGGGCCAGTCAGAAATGTAAGTTATAATGCATTGTTGGGTCGCTCAAACGGAATCCAGAGCCCTGCTAGTCCGGCAGCGTGTCGTTGTTAAGATATTATAAACCTCTTTTCTATACTTGCCCAGAAGTTGCCCATTGTGGATGTACCACCTCTTTCGTACTCGGACAGAAAATAGGCTTTAACTAGCTTGCGGTTGCTCAGTTGGAGGCATGAAGCTCAAAGATGGCACGAGGAGAGAAGAAAATAGAGTACATTAAACTTTTATTACGGAAAAACGTTTCCATTACATTTTTGGAGAAAACCTACAAACCATGTATATTTATACTATAATTATAATACATCTTTACAACACCCACGCATTTGATATAGATGGACGCCATCGATCGAGGTTTGATGTTCATGAATTGATGTAAGGTTGGAGTAGCCTAGGTTAGAAGATTTTAAATGAGGCTCAAGTAAAGATCCAGAAGGGAGATCCCAAAAACGGTAACACAAGTCTAAGGTGGCCAAAGTCTGAGGGCAGTCCAAAAAAGGTTGACTCAAGGCTAAGTGTCATTTAAAAGTATAATGTCTAAAAAAACGATGCCCAAAAGTAGCAGAGGCCCTAGCAGTTTCACAAAGGCCCCCAATCATTTTGCCTAATTAGATACTCACCTAACTAAATTTAAAACATTTGCTCTTTTTAATTCACGTTGTTGAAAGAAAGAACCAACAAATACGAATTATCTCTATGACGGTTGAAATGTAATATGAACGATTCTCGCCAGAAATATTTGTATGTGGAGGCTGTCAATGCCAGTTATTTTACTAGAGATATGCATGCGAAGAGATGGGCGGAATGTTCAAATTCCATGGACGGTGGAACCAACTAGCTAACAGCATAAAATTTGGTTATTATAAGACGTAACCTAAAATGTTTGAAGCGGATCTGTCTTCTGAACGGAAACGACACGGGTATTATGTGAAAAGCATATAAAACGTCAAAAAAGCCTCAAAAATGTCATCCTGCAGACTAAGTTGTTTTTAGGGTACAAACAGTCATTCCACGTTTGCTCACTAGGATGGTTGCGAGCGTCCGTCTATGGAGGAATGGCTCAACTAGACGCATACACGCATTGTTGGTTGCATACGTTTTGTGAAGCCGAGTAGTCTATAGTTTTCATCTCTGAGAAGAAAGTTGATGAAATAGCAAGATCGCATCTGGATGATTGTGCGTACTGGTCTGCATGCGTATAAAATCAGTGATATTTGCTGAGCGAGAAAAGCATTACTGAATAATGCTGCCGATGTCGTAAATCTATTAGCTGAGCCTGACGGGTTATTTATAAATATGTTGTCCTTTCTGAAGACAGTTTCAAAGTTATCAATTACGATTTTTTACTTTTTTGTGTTTTCGAAAACTTTGAGGAGAATTACGGGAAATCACAGCCGTGCCCACTTGTAATTCGACAGTGTAGAGTGAATATAATTATTTCTTATCTCTCTCATTTTTGAAATTCAGCAAATTTTCATGTGATTTGCAGAATGAATAAGATAAAGTGCGCAACTAATTTTTAGCTTTGAATCTCAAGAAAGTGTATTTGAGACATGAATCCAATGAAATTATCATCAACACATATTATTAGCGCACAAATCCTCACTACGCATCTATGCATTGCCGTTACCTCCAGTATGCCATCTCTGAAGATGATTTTACATCACATCAGAGCCAAACATTGATAACTGAATTCTCATGACTTTTAGGCAACACATACAACTACAAAACAAGTTGTCCATCAGCTAGTGCTAAGTTAACATCTTGTAGAATAACATAATGACACAAGAAAACAATAAAATGTCAACAAAAATCGGCATAATGTCACTTTTCAAGATACGTAATACCCGTGCCGATCAATTTAGTGCTGGGATTAACGGGTGGCCCCAGACGACTAATTCTGTGCCTCGTGTTATTCGTCCACACAACACTTTCAATTTTTAACGATCATATTCGAATTCAGCATCCCAAATTACCGAGTACCGTTCGCTTGTTGCTAGCGATAACTAAAATATGCAATAATAAAATAACGGCCCAAATTACCTAAGATACTCGAGCAGGCGACCCATGTGATCCTACGCTTCAAATTAGTATTCTCACAGTCCTTTGTGCTTGCGCTTCCGACATGCGGGCATCGATAGCAGGACACGCGTTGTTCAGTCCAATGACATCGATGAGCCAGAGCATATCTGATACAATACATCATCGCAACTTCCGTCGAAATGAAGGGTTCTTACACCGCACGCTGTGTATTGGAGGTGATGAAGTTTGCCACAAGACATCGGTTCGCAACTTGGGCATCACATTTGATGAGAACCTGTGCTTCCATGATCATGTCACCAAAGCTGTTCAGGGTTCCTATGCTAAGTTGAAGTCAATTTATAGCTATAATTATATATTTATAGCTGTAAATATGTAAGGTTAAGCTGTGTGACTCCCTTATCCTAAGTAAACTTGAATACGGGGACCTTGTCTATGGTCCATGTCTAATACAGAGCGAGGCATACAGACTTCAAAAAGTGCAAAACAGCTGCATAAGATTCAGTTTAGGTATTCAAAGGCGGGAGAGGGTATCTGATCATATTAAAAATATTCAATGGCTTACTATGCGACAAAGGTGGATACTGCATCTATTATCATTGGTCCACAGTATTATGATAAATAAAATGCCTCTTTATTTGAAGAACAAGCTTACCATGAGATGTGATCATCACTCAGCGAACCTGCGTTTTGTAGGATATACTCTTGACTTGCCTCGGCACCGAACAACCCAATTCAGAAAGAGCTTTTCATATGTGGCGCCCGATTTCTACAATAAAGTTCCTCAAGCTTTGAAAACTTTATCTGTGTCCAGCTTTAAAAGAAAAGTTAGGCTCTTTGTCTTTGATGACATGTAGCATGTATTTTTTTTTTTTTTTTGATTTCATCTAGCATGTATTTTTATGTAATTTTATTTTTATGTAATTTTATTTTTATATTTGTTTATTTGTGCATGTTTTCTCACTCGTCACTTTTCATTTGTTTGTGTTTTGCTTACACATTTGTTACTGTTTACTTTTAATTTTTATATCTTCCGCCATATACCTAATATTTTTTTTTTTTTAAAGTTACTTCTAATCACGGTTTTTGATTCTGCTACGTACTCTGTTGCTGCACGTTTCTCTTTTGGTCTTTTGGTCATTATACCATGCTACGATTCTGTAAAAAAAAAAATGTTTCTGCTTTAAATGTTATCTTTAATGTATTTTTGTTGTATTTGCATGTACTTGAATTTTTTTTTAGCCCTGGTTGGTTCTGAAAAACAGCTTGTGCTGATGTAACCCGCCAGGTAAAATAAAGGCCATTTATTATTATTATTATTATTATTATTATTATAATAAGCATTCCTCCTATTAAGGTCGAGTTATAAAATTTGACGTTCCGCAACGCCACCGTACCATTGCTTTATCGCAGAACTTGAATCATGTGCTTGAGGTTAAACTATTATATAAACAGGGATTCCGCTGACGCTGGACTTGACGCAGTTTCAACTTTCTGACGTTGCCGTTCCTGATTCAACCAATGAAGGGGAGCCTTCAAATGACGTTTTTATTGCCACATATCAGCTGGTTCTTTAGCGTCCTGTTCGCTCTATTGACATTACCATATGTTCTGTTTTGTTTTTGTGATCGACGTGGCTTCCTTTGAGATTGTTTGATATATTTGATTTAGTCTATTCAAGTAATAATATAAATTATCAGATGTGTGTTACAAGCGATGAAGACACTGCATCTGGTTTTAAAGCTACAGAGACAACACATACTTTTATCCTTCGATAGTATTTATAATTTCCGCCTTGCCAAGCCCTTCAATTAATTAATACATTAGATGTTCTTTGTGTCATACGAGAAATAAATAAATCGCCCAAAAAATTAGCGTAATTTTCAGAATTGCCCTGCTGTGTGAAATTCGATATGCTATGTCAAAGCTAGACGTGGGTGTATTTGCATGCAGAAATCGAACACGACGCTGCGCTGTTTCTATCCAGCGTGAGCGCGTTATTTCCTTTAAAGTATCGATTTATCTAAGCCGATAAGGATTAATTATAATTTAATTAACGGCGCTCGCAATAAACCACATATGACGGAATTCAACTAGACTGCCCTAATTTCAGTATCGTTGTTTTTGTATCGCCATAAAGATGAGTTTTTCAATAGTTAACTTGTGCGCAAGTAAAAGTCTGACGGTCGCCACTTACCAATGGGTTGCTAAGCTGACTTTCATCCTCATCCTATACGCTGGAAACTCAAAATCGACGTTCTGCGCTATGCATAGATGTGTCGCACCACACCACTATCACGGTCGACTTTCAAGTGGTCGGAGTTACTTACTACTCCTACCTTCTGAATCATTCATAAAATCAAAAATACGCCGTTATGCACATGTCGATAGGCCAGGGCGTAGTGCGGTAGTAAACAAAGCCTGAACATGGCAACTTTGGGGAACATATGATTTGCAAGGTTACACGTTCGAAGCGCGATCCAGTTACGTAACATAGGATCGGTATTCGAGGGCTCACTTATGTGGTACAATAATATATAAATCAAGTAATAAATTGTTAGGTCAACTTGTTTTATTTGATACAGTGAACAAGAATATTGCAACTTTGAAGTCCCGTCTTGTTTTTCGTTCAGGAAGAGAAACGCTACTCCTCAGTAAGGAATTGCGGTCAGTAATGACGATTTCAACAGTATGTAGCGAAAAGAAAAATGGTTTATTTTTATTTAATTATATATGTCAGACAACTCTAAATAGGATTCTCAGCAACTGCAAAATTGTGTTCTTTGCAAGCACTACTAGTCAAATTGAAGACACTGAGATTTCTCAAAGATGAATTGCAGACGTATCTTCCTGCTACTGCAGGGGCTTGATTTGATTTATAGTATAGATATGTACATTTCAGAAGCACCAACGTATAAAGAGGTATGGAGTATGTTACATAACAAATATGCATCTCATAGAAAATGTGAAGTTTTGATTGAATTGGGGAACGATGAAAAATAATTTATCCATAACTTGGATACATCTGAACATAGTATGCTGTCCATGGAAGAGAAAAAAAATAAAATTGCATGTACAAAGTGAACATTGTGCAAAAATCAGAATCAAAAGGCATTAAAACATCCAACTTGAGGTTATTGCCACTGAGAACCGAAAACAAAACATACACATACATATGAAACGAAACATGTTCTTTTGTATTGTGGGATATAATTTCACATGCGTAGCCAGTGTCTGCCCATTATTAATTTCACAGACATGGAAAAAACTATTGCGGATAACAATAAAGAAAATTCGAATGACAAGTTACTCCATCAATACGAAAACTCACAATGACACATTCGAATTATGAATAATGCGTTAACGCCTCTTATACGATAACTACGTATGCGATGTTTTCAATTTTTGCGGCTTCAGAGTTGTCCGACTATATAGTCAGAATGACAGAATGACCTTTACGTCATACCATAAATTGTACTGAAGTAATCAATGGTCGTACGTCGATGATGAAATCACGATGTCAGGAATGATGACAACAAATTTATATTATGATTTTGCGAAGTTATGTTATTTCAATGATTATTTTTATTTTCATTTTATTTCATAGTTTTGAGTAATAATAATCTTAGTACGGAGTTTTGAAAAACCAGTCATGATTAGAATACCTTAAGACAGAAACACCAAAGACCAAAGTATTATTCGAAAACAACCTAACCTGCTTTAACGTAACCTAACTACTCATCTTTCAAATATGATCGATCATGCAACATGAAAACATTGTCTATCTTTGTCGGACACATGCATATTAGCAATACAGTTTGTTTAGACAATAAAATTCTGTTTGTCTCTGTCTAGCATATCTGAAACTTCATTAAAAATATTCACAAATCGCTGTCGTTTGTGTTTGCTACAGACTAAAACGATGACGTGATCGTCATTTTTCGTTATTTCGACTATAGTTGTCATATCGAATTTTTATTAAAAATAACCTAATAACAAATAGTTTTCCTCATTACGACATGGAAGATTACTAAGTACGTATGAATACGTTTACCCACTGAGGGACATACAGCATTGTAAATTTCTGACATGTCTGCAACAATTGGAATGTAAACAGGTAGTTCTATACCTTTTAGTAGTTGGTGGTCGGAGACAGCACTGTTTCGTGCTCATTAAGAACTAATCAGCGCAGTAAAGCAGTTAATCTAATCTAATCTAATCTTGGAGACAGACGAAACAGGAACCAACTAAGTGGGTATGGTGTTTTGAAAGTAGAATAATATAGTTGTAAAGCTTACAATACAAAATATCCATTTTTTTCTGTTGTTGCTACAAGTGCATGAAACTTGGTAAACACACCATATTTACCTAAGAAATGCTATTTCTCACTAGTGAACGCCTTACAAAAATGTAGTTTATCTAATGCTTTTAACTTTTCAAATCATTCATACAACTTGTCACTTGTCAGTTATTACTAATCTGTACCTCAATTACAGTGTAACATAATTGTACCAATTCCTGATATAACTCGAAGTGCCTGAGGATTTTAATAAATATAACAGTTCCTGAGATATTTCCAGTTTGCTGAAATGTACATGCGTGCATATGGACATAGAATTTATGCACACCTATTTTATAAATAAACTCAACATATTCACGTTTAATATGCTAGGATAAACGTAATACTTACTCGTAAAATTTGAAACTATAATATGTAGTCATGAACCGTAAAGGTGTTTTATGTTTATATCTCTCTGTTTATATTCCTGGTGCTGATTTCAGGTGAGTAGTCAATAGAGCTGAATTACTTTAATTTGCGCATACATAACAATAGTACACGATTTCAACGACAGGCAAAAATCCAATGTCATATCCAAAGGTATATATTACAAGGAGGGTGTGCCCATTTGTTAGGACAAAAGAGGTGTGTAATAAGCTTTGATTGGCAGAGCCGTCTTTAACATTTCAATATAGTATTTAAAACAGCAGACGGCCCATCCATGCGAAAAGGTCTCGAAACTGTCCTTTAGAGAAGAGTTATCGATCTCAACATCATCGAGAGGAACAACGTCGAACAAACACCTTGGGGAACATCCGCGTTGACATTATTGGATGAAGCGGAGAACCCATCAGTTACAACAGATGTCCTGCGACCATAGAGGAAGTCATCTATCCATCACCAAGAAGAGGGAGACATGCCAAGGATGATAATTATTCGAACTACTTTCTTTTTTTTTGGACTCTCACAAATAAATAAATCATTGTTACCGACCCCGAGGCTAAAGTCTGTCTGTCTGTTCGCTAATCCGTGTTCTTACTGTAAGTAGTGGTCAGATTTTGATGGAATTTTAGTTGAGGTTGAACATACTAATCTCGTCACAACGTTATCACTATGCTAAGGAAGAAAAAGCTTTTAGATTTTGAAAATAGACTTGTAGGTAGTGGAGCTACGGACTGAAAACGTAAAAATAAAAATCGTTCAATTTTAGTTGGTTGACATTTCTAAGGTCCCGATCTTTTTCAGAAAATTTCTGGTTGGGGATCATGGGCGTACTCTTAGACACAATATCACACATTTTACAACTCCAACTACCCAGGAATACGCGATATATTTTTAATAAAGATACCAGAGTGTGCAAAATGTAACTCAGATATATAATTCATACATACTCAATTTTCCCAGAATTGCGTGGGAAGGACAGTGTCATGCTACTCAACGCCATTTTTACTTCTCACGCATACTGGTGGTCAAAAATAGAATATTACGTTTTTTGGGTGTTATCTGACATGTACATACATCACGAAAAGACATGTAATTCATTTCTGTCAGTCCGTCGGTCTGTCCGCTAATCTTATAACCGCCCATAACTTGAGAAGTATCACTCGGATTTCGATGGAACTTCTACACAATGTCTCTACTACGCCAAGGATGCAAAATCTTTGCAGTTTTTGAAAATGAATCCAGTGGCAATAGAAAAGAAAGTTGAAAAGGAAAAGGAATAAAAATCGCTCAGCGATCCCAACTTATTTAGACCTAAGCCACTCTTCCATTGGAAGCAGATCTTCGAGTAGAACCTTAACCCCATTATACTGACCCGTTGGGTTTTGGAGCCTGTGCCCATTAAGGCATTTGTTCAGGATGTCAAAAAACATAACATATAAAAAATTTAGCAAAATCAACCGAAATCACACTTCCACTTAAAACAGATATTCGAGTAGAGCTGATACCCCATTATACTGACTTGGACGGTCTATGTCTTGAGATCCGTTGAGGTTGGGGCCCTGTGTCCCATTGAAATATTTGTTCGGGATGCCAAGGCGCATAACATATTATCCCCTGTAATCACTTTTACCAGAGGCATGTTACCGGGTCCTTTTAGAGGTAAAAAAAAACCTGGGATGGAAGTTCTAGGTGGTTGGGAGGGTTTATCACTTTTTTTTATAGCATAGTGTCTCCTATGAGCTGCCACGTCAGCCCGGTATAAGTGATGGGGGAGGTAATGTTTCCAGATGCACTACCTGTTTGGCTATCTTTTTTTTTTCAGAGGCTCTAGTTTGGGCTGAACACAATCATTTATGAACTGATAACGGCGATGCATAGGAAGTGTAAAGCCAACCTACTTGACGCCATTTTTTTTGTTTGTTCACATGTTAATTTTTATACCGTAAATACGGTTCTGTGTGTCTCACCGCGGTCATTAAAAAATGGAAATGAATGCTGTAGCATCGTTTTGGGTGTGGACTGTAGGTGAAATTGATGTTTACATAGCGTGCATCTGCGTTATATGGGTCGCTCTTTGCGTGGATAAGGACTTGCTACACTGAACAGTCTCCATGTCCAAAGAACAATGTACCCAGGATTAACTTCCAGCTATCTATTACGAGGTAATTGAAGTCTGCGAGGCTTTTCATACATCTGAGAGAAACTAGAAAGCATGTGCGTAACAATCAAGCACCATATGTAAGACCAGTAGATGTCGGTTGCCAAGCCACTTACAAGGAGACATCACACCATTCGGGTCTATGATTTTGCTGCACCTCTATGTGATAATAGAGACTTGGTAGTGCAGTATATATCTAAAGTCTTGAGATACGCTATCTGCAAACAACGAACATATTTCTCTCGAAAAGGTCAGTCTCACCATTTATCCGAGTTTTAAAAATGCTTGAATGCAAGAATTGATGTTTACTGTAAAAATTACTCCTCCGAAATGCACTGCAATTTGTCAACTATGCTATGCGTACCTTGACCGGTAAATCAAAAATGTTATTAAAAAAATCAAGAACTGTTCATATTTAGTAGCACAAAAACGCGAAATCTCATCTTGTGAAGATTTCATACGACTTTATTCATTGGTTCATCATCAGTTATCAGCACTAATTTTCCAGAAAATGATTGAACACGCATGATTTGCATCCAAGAAAAACGGGTGACATTGATATCGAGTAGGTCTTAAATAGTTAATATTAGATCTATTACACCAACAAAATTAATACTACATACAAAAAAGAGTAGTGATCTTGATTCAAGAACAACTATCTTTAATTGAGGACCGTGACTTCCGTATGTTTCTAAGACATATATATTTGAATTAAGGTCAGTTTCTCAATTGTAAGTGCTACGTTTCCTTAAAACAGAGATAAATTACCTCATTTGAAATATCTGTGATCTCGAATCAATATCATAATTTTTAAAATATTTTTTTTTAAAACTGAAATCAATACATTTCGTTTTCCTAAGCCAAATACTGTAATTTGTTAACTGAAATTAGTTATGAGTTAAGTAGTCTATCCTGCAGATGGCAAGAAGGAGTAAGCCTATTATGTCATTGT